AAAAAATAAAACCGTAGGTGAAATCGATCCACCTCCTGATGTTCCAACATGAACTCTTCCACCTAAATCATTTCGAATATCTTTTTCAACACTTTCCTTTTCCATCAATGTTAAATTATCATTTAATTTACTTAAATAATTTTTATAAATTAAATTCCATAATTGTGGTGTTAATCCAAGACTTGTAGGTTTTATATATTTAATATCATTCCACATATTATTTAAATTAGTTAAACCTCGACTACTTCCATAACGAATTGTAGTCATTAACGATAAGAGAATTGTTGGATCAAATGGTTGATAATCAATACGTATAAATGGTGATATTAAGGTAAAATTATCTGTTGGAACAATCAAATCTTCTGTAAATATAGCACCTTTTGGATAGCCAGTACTACCCGATGTTGAAAGTATTGCTGAGATTGTTGTCGAAGATAAATTAAATGATGATTTTATATCAATTGAACTTGTCTCACCAAATTCAAGAGCATTTGTTAATGAAATTATATTTGTTGTATTATTCATTGTTTTTGATTGATGAAGAAATTGTTCTTCATGTTTATAAATAATCATTAAAGAATCTTTTTGATTGGATGATAATACTGGACAAACTTTATCATAATATTGTTCATCAATAACAATTACTGATGGGTTAGTTATTGATAATGTATGTTTAATAGCATCGATATGTAATGAACCATTTATTGGAACAATCACTGATTGTAATAAAAGTCCACTTAATAAACAACATATATATGCAGGTGATGTATTACAAATTAATAAAATAAATGGTCGATTATCATTGTTAGCATTGGCAACGAAATTTTTCCAATATTTTGATAATTTAATACATTTATCAAACATTTCTCCATAGCTCATTGCAGTAAATTCATTCGTTTCTTGATTTTTATAGATAAGAAGTGGTGATAAATGAAATAGTTGAAATGCATTTTCAATTAATTCAACTGAAGTATCTCCATGTGCTACTGTTTGACAAGGAAGAATATCAACAATTAATTCATGTTTATGATTCGTAGCTAATGAATTAAGATGACATCCAGAAGAACATGTATTATAAGTACATTGAAAACAACACCAACGATTATCACCAGGATTGATTGCATTTCCACAAATTTCACATATACATATATCAAGTCTATAGGATATTAATGGATTTAATCGAAATTGTTTAGCAAAAAATGATCCATAACTTCCTGCTGTTAAATTTGACCAACGTCCTTGAAATTGAAAATTTTTATTTTCTAATTCAATGAATTTTCCTCGATATTCTACTGTATAATCTGTATTTGTATTATATTTTTTAATAATATTCATATCATCTAAAGTACCGTTTCCTTCTAATGTAAAAAATAGAAGAGGTTGATCAGGAATATCAGCTGAATCATTAAAATATCCGCTGCCATACAATTTCCATTGATCATTATGCGTTCGAAAAATTGTTATACACCATCGAATTGGATTTATAGGTATGAAAAAATCATGAAGTTCTTCATCGGGATCTGACTGACCAATCCATATTCCTGAAAGAAAATCCGTTGGAATATCTTCTTCACAAATCATAGCTAATTTTCCAAATAAATTTGAATTAATTAATGATTTCCATGTTCCATGTAAATAAGCTGTACCCTTCGATCTATCAATTATTAATTTACATTGATAAGAATATGTTGATATACCATTTATTATTTCAATCATTGAACATTCTCGTTTTGTTCCATTATAAGTTCCATGAATAATACTTAAATAAGAATCATATAATCCTCCACCAAATACCGATGGATAATTTTTTGTTGGAGTAAAACACAATGTAAATTTCAATCGATTTTCTTCTGTATTATTCAAATCTATTGAATCATCAGAAATACGTTGACCAATAAATGTTCCACTACAATATGTATCTCTAGACATTTTTGTTATAAATGAGTATTGACGAACATATTATCAACTACCTTTTATAGCGTTGTTATTACATGTCAATAATGCAACATATAGGTGAATATGTCAAACAGCGTCATATTCTTGTTTTTCTCCTTTTTTAGTCATATTCTCTTCGTTGAAATTACTTCATGAAATAAACGCATTGTGTAATACAACTCAACGATCTATTGTTTTATGATATTCTTTACTTCCGTTGACCCACACTCTCAAGATGATACTTCAACGAGAAAATTATTCGCAATATAATTTTAACAGATGAAAAAATTCATTTCATATGCTTATTATAATTTAATATATATATATATATATTGCATGTGTTCATTATGCACACTTATTTTTCTTGATTAAAATTTGAATACCTTGAAGTGACATGCATGGTATGTTAGTTAAGAAATCTGATAAAACCAATTTTAATTTGTTCCAATATATGAAATAAATTCTTGGTCAACCTTCTAGTTGCGACATCTTTGCACAATTTTTCCTTTACTTTAGAATGAATAAGGAGTTTCTATAGTTTCTCTGTTTTCAATGTCATCTCTTATTACAAATGATGTTGGGCTTCGAAATGAGACAATAACACACTAGAAGTTTCTACGTATAAAAATTCGTTTCGACACATATATAAGATATAGAAAATAAAAGGCCAGGTAGCATTGAATATAATAATCATTTTTAGTCGAGAAGTAAATGCTTGACTTCGAAGATATTTATGTTTTTCGATAAGTAATGCAAGTCCTCCACCAATAATTCCTCCATACCAGAGTAAAAATAGAAGTGGACTTTCACCTAATAATAATCCACCATGTTCTGCTTGTCGTGTATCATATTGAACACAACTATATGTTAAGAAATTGAAAAGAACAAGTGTTATTATGGTATATTTAACAACAAATACAGATTGTTTTCGATGACAATAGATCAGAGAACATATATGAAGTAAAACAATAATTTGTAGAACAAGTAAGATTAATTTTTTTCGATAATCAATCGATGAACGTAGTTGAACAAATTTTGAATTATCACGTGAACGTGAACGTGATGAACTTTTTGGAAAACGAACATAATTTCGATGATAACAAGGTAATCCATTAGATTTAATTTTATCATTTCCATTTCTATTTATATATTTTAATCGATTTCGACTTTGTCTTATTGTAGATAAAGATGTTCTTTCATGATCAATTAACATAAAAAAATATAAATAAAATGTAAGATATTTTTTAGTTTCTATAGAAATGTATATTATAATAATAGAAAAAGCAAAACTATGCCACCAAGATCAGCGAATAAAGTTAAAGTTTATGTTCGAACGCGTCCAACAACTAGTTTTGCATCGGATATGCTTGCAATAGGACCTGATAATCGAGTTAGTTAAAAATTTTTCAAAAAATAAACTCGAATCAATCTAATATTTTTTAGACAGTTGGTATTCATCGAGCACCATCACAAAATGTTGTTGATAATAAAATAAATGATTGGACATTTCATTTTGATGGTGTATATAATAATGTTAATCAAGAAGAAATTTTCAATGCTACAGCTAAAGATGTTATCACTCGTACATTAGATGGTTACAATGGTATATATACGAATTTATGATTATTTTTCTTTCTCAAGAAAGAAATTCTATTTTAGGAACAATAATGTGTTATGGTCAGACTGGAGCTGGAAAAACTCATACAATGACTGGTTTTACTGAGAGTTATTCAAATCGTGGTATTATACCTCGTACTTTACAACATCTTTATCAAGAAATAAATAGTCGACAAGAATTTTCTTATTCTATTCGGTATATATGAAATAGAAAATAAAATTATCAAATCTTATTTTTTGTGTATTTAAGTATTGCTTATCTTGAAATCTATAATGATCAAATGTGTGATTTACTTCGTACATTAGATACTCAATCAGATTATCAACAACAACAACAATTATCTATTGGTGAAGATTCGGGCTTAGTTTATGTTAAAGGATTATCATATCGTCTTGCAAATAGTGAAGAAGAAGCATTAAATTTATTATTTGAAGGTGAAACCAATCGAGCTATAGGACAACATGTTCTCAACAAACAATCATCACGTTCACATTGCTTATTTACTATTGTTATTGAACGTCGATCATTAGTATCATCGAGTGAAAAATATACAATGTCAAAATTAAATCTAGTTGATTTAGCTGGTAGTGAACGATTAGCTAAAACGAATGTATGTTTTACTTTTAAAATGAATTATTTTCATCTTTAAAATTTATTTAGTCGGAAGGTATTACTAAACGAGAAGCAACATTTATTAATAAATCTTTATCATTTCTTGAACAAGCTGTAATTAATTTATCGGATAAAAAATCAAATTCTCATAATTGTCGAAGTTCGAAATTAACACATGCATTGAAAGATAGTATTGGTGGACGATGCATGACAGTAATGATTGCAAATATTTGGCCAGAATTACAACAACTTGAAGAAACAGTAAGATGAAAAAATACAAAGAATAATTTAAATTATATATTTTTGTATTGAATAGATTTCTACACTTCGTTTTGCTAGTCGAATGATGTGTGTACCTGCTGAACCAACTATTAATGAAGTTATTGATCCAATAAAAGCTATTGAAACTTATAAACGTGAAAATAAACTTTTACGTGAAGAATTAGCATTACATGATTCATTAGCACGTCGTCATAGTGTACCACATGAAACATTATCGGAACAACAAATATATGAAATTGAAAATCAATGTCGAAAATTTATTGAAGGATCATTAGATGATATTGAAGTCAAAAATCTTCGACAAATACAAGGTTTTTTTTCTCTTTAATATATATAATTATAAAAAAAACGTTTTTATTTCTCTGTAGCTGTATTTAATGCATTACGAAATATTTGTCGGTAAGTTAAAAGATAGATAAAAAAGATGATCATGATGATTTATTCTATATTTAGAACAACTGAAAAGGATGCTGAAAAGAAATGTCGTGATCGATACATTCCTGCAGATAAACAAGGATATGATCAACAAGATGGTCATAAGGTAAATATCGAATAGTGTTAATTATAAACTATAAAATATATTACAGGAAGATGATTATTCAGAAATTGTAAGTAATTCATTGCTTTAAGTATTATATATAAAATATATTTCAATGTAGTATTCTTAATAAAGTCAATATCTATGTCGTATTTCGGTAGAAATAGCTTATACAATTGCGAAATCTTTTCAATGCTTTACCTACATATATATCCCAAACTTCTTCTTAAACATTTTTTAATTACTGGATAAAGTCAGTTTATGTTATCAATCTTTTAGATGCCTGGCAGTAGTCGAGGTGGTATGGGAGGAGATCTTGATGGTCAAAATTTTGGTACAGGTGCAAAAGATCAACGTGGCAGTAAAGAGTCTTTACTTAAAATGGCACGAAATAAAAAACAACAGGCAACAACACCAGCAGCTGCTGTAACAACCTTAAAACCACCAGCAACACAACAGCCTGGGTATATTACTTTCTATATTAAAGACGATTTTTGTTTCATCTCTTTTAATATGAAATTAGTGCTAAGGCAAAATCTCCTCCACCTCCTGGATTTAAACCAAATGGTGCTGGTCCTCAACGAGGTGCAACAACGGATGAAGAACAATTTTCACAAGTGAAAGAAGCAAGTGATGTAGTTGATACAAAAGATCAACCTCCAAAGTAAAGAAATTAAAATTAAATAATTATATTTTTAAAAATCGTTTTTAGTACACCACCTGGTCGAGCAGTTGCATTTGAAGAGTTTAAACAAGGTCGAGGTTCAAATTTAAATAAAATCTATCTCGATAATAAAGAAATAACAGCAGTAAAAAAGAAACAATTTACTGATTTAGCACGTCGTATTAATCAAACAAAAGGTGAAATTGATGAAACACGTGTTAAAGCTGAACAGAAAAAGAATGAAAGATTATCAATGGGTAAAAAACAACTCTCGTTGCTTTTGTCTTTTTTATTTTTATCTTTATTCTTTGAAAAAAACAAAAAATAGGTGAATTTTTAAATGAAAATGGTGAAACAATAATCGATGAAGAAGAATATGAGCTTATTTCAAAATTACAAGATCTTAAAGGTATTTATCGAACTGATTTTGATGAATGGAAAAGTCTTAAATCCGAAATATCCTATTGTCAAAATTTGGTTAATCAATGTCAAAATCGACTTCTTCAAGGTACAAGAATAATTTCATATTTTTGTTGATAATTTTTATTTTTTTTTTCTAGAATTCGATATTTGGTATAATGATTGTTATTCGAATGAAAATACTACCGGTGGTCCCGATGATTTAACATCATCAAATAAGAATAATAATGATTCTCGTGTTTATGATGATGCAGCTGAAAGATTCGAACGTATGCAAAAAGAATTATTACTTTCCGATCTTGATAGTATGCCATTTCGACAAGCTCAAATGAAAACAAATCGACGTGTAAATTAAAAAATTCTCATTATATGTATATTGATTGTTTATTTGTTTTTCTATTTTTCATAGCATGTTTTCGATGCAGCAACAGCTCAAGGTCCATGGAAACAAGCTCCATCAACAACTGTTACAACAAATAGTGCTCATTATCTTGGATATGATGAACAAGAATCTCTTCCATCATTATATACAAATGGTAATCAACAAAAACCCATGGTTCGATAAAAAAAACAATACATTGTTTTATGTGTGTTTATCAGAGAAGTTTTAACTGAATAAAATTATTTCGACCTATATTACAAAGTCAAATTCTTAGTTGATGATGAACCCATAGTAATTTGTCTGATAGGAAAAAAAACAACTTGACAAATGTAGCATTATAAATGAATTAATCAATCAAAAAATGAATCACTACTTATTGACTTAATTTTTTTGTTGATGACAAAATGGAAGGCAGCAACAAGCAAAAAATATATATATATACTTTAAGAAAAAGAAAAAAAAACACATTCATCGAATCCGCCATTTGTAAAAGAAAAAAAGAGAACAATGTAAAAACGAAATAATCAACATTCTCACACACCGTATATGCACAGAGAGCGCGAGAATCCGCACACAAGGTTCGTTGCGAGTAAAAAGTAGAAAAAAAAAAGATGATGCGCATAAGTGCCAACCAAAAGAAAAACTATACACAAAGAAGTAGACAAAAAAAAGAAGAAAGTAGAACAAATGTAAACGCGCAGAAATACACAAAAAAAAAAGAAGATTGTTCAAATATATTTTGTTTTGATGTTTTTCTCAGTTGACAAAAAGCAGAAGATTATAGCACAGAATCTAATTGATTTCTTTGATCTGGATAATATCGCGATGGACATCAGTAATAAGAAAGAAGAAGAAAAAAAATTGTTTATTTTTTTAAAAAAGCATATTAAAAACAGGCAGACATAGTGCATGGTGGATATATAGATATGTGTCTATATATAATCGAATTAAAGTTTTTCATCAGTGTGTGCATAGAATGTTGAAAGTAAGAGAAACAAAAAAATCAGAAGACAAATCATGGCGGAAAAAAGAGAGCACCAAAGAATAAGACATAAAACATCATTCATTCCAGAAAAAATATTCATGCATCGCTTGTTGTATTACGTAATATATTCTTATCATTATCATTTGTTATTGATGAATTATTGGATTTAACATTGTCATAAACTTCTTCTTCAAACATGTCTGAAAAAAAATAAGAAAAAAATAGAAATTAAAACAAATATTTAGTATCATATTTACCTAGATTAACTGTTTGAGCTTCTGTTGATGCATTATTTGAATTATCTAAATTTGTTTGAATATTATTTATTTGCATTAAATAACTATTTGAATGTTGTTGAGCATTTTCAACAGCAGTATTTATACTATCAGTTGAATCAAAATGTTCAATTTCATCTTCATCATCACTATCAGCCATAACAGCACTATTATTTTCATCTTCTTCTGTTTGACTTGTTGTACCATCATCAAAAACACCTTCATCATAACGTTCAACAACTTCTGTTGCCATATGTAATTGTTGTGGTTTAGATGTTGATGGTAATGATTTAATAGTTTCATCTAAATCAGTTATCGATGATAATTGTTGTTCATTTGATGTTGGTGAACGAGATTCAAAATGAATTAAATCAGTAAATGTTTGTGGTGGTAGTGGTTGTTGTTGTTGTTGTTGTAATGGAATAGCTACTGAACCAAGTGATTCAGATGAATGAAGTGATGACATTGATAATGAATCTTTTAAATCTGAATATGGTTGTGATAGATTACTAAGAATGGATGGTGTTATTGTTAATGCACTACTTGAACTACTACTATTTCGTCTTAATAGTGGATTTAAATGATCAAAATTTGATGAACGATAATCACGCACTGAAAGACCTTCTTGTTTTTGATTATTTGATAATTTCTAAATGAATAAGAGAAAAAAAAATTTTTTTTAATTTAATTTAATTTTATGAAAATAAATTACCAAAGCTAGAGTAAGTTGTTCACCAAGTTGTGTTAATGGTGTCCATAATGATTGAACTTCAATTGTGGATGTTTTTTTATCTTTTGCTGCTCGATTTTGTGTTTGACTTATTGTTTGTATTAATTGATTATCTAATTGAATTATGATTAATAAGAAAAAATAATAATATATATATGAAATATTTACGACAACTAGCTGCATTTGTAATTGCTTCTAATGATGATATTGATTTAGTTGGTTGTGTTATTGCAATCTAAATATAAGAAGTAAACAAAATATATATATATATATATGAGATAAAGAAAAGATATTCTTACATTTCCTGGTATATCTTTAATTTGATCTTGAGGAATGTTGAGAAGACGTGAAAGGAGCAATTCTTTTTCATGTAATAAACGTTTCAGTTCCTTATCCTTCTCAAGAATGGCATTTAATAATGATTCAGGTGTATCTTCAATTAATGTTTGTTTATCAATTATTTTAACTTGATTAGGTGCAACTAATTGAATATTTGCTTGTTCTTCAATAATTGCAGATCTTTAATTAGCAAAATAACATAATAGGTTTTATTTAATGAAAAAAAATAAATTCTTACCGTGGTGTTATTGTTGATGATGTTGTTGATGTTATTGATTGAGAAGAAATAGATGGATTTAGAGTTTTTTCATTCGATGAAGAAATAGAAGATAATTTAGGTTTTTCAAATGGTTTTCGAGCTTTTTCAATCCATTCTAACCATCTGAATAGTACAAAAACAAATTAATTATTTAAATAAATAATATTAATAATTACTTTTCAAGATCATCTTTGGAATTAGCTTCAACTTCAATCAATTGTTTTTTATCTGTATCAATGACATAGAATGAACGAGCACCTAAAAGATAGAATTAACATAGTTTTTCAATATCTCTAAAATTTTTCAATGAGGACTACCCTTTCAAAGCAATAAAAAAAGAAAATATGTCTGTCCTATATTTTAGTTAATCGCAGCTTTAAGAATTATCCAAATTTTTTGCATGTATGCCACACCTCACACTTGAACTTAAGCATTCAACTATCCATCTGCAAGAAGGTGACAGTAGGAGGGAGGAGAGTGAACAGGGAGAGTATGAGTAAGGGAAACAGGAATAACTGGGTAAGTAGAACAAGAGTGACGATGAAGGGAAGAGAACAATTGAATTCAACTTTCAAGTTTGACGACACTACTCACTTTTTATTGAGTCAGTTTTCCCTATAATATGAAATCCTAACTGTTCACAGGGACCTCTAGTCTATTATAATTAAATTACCTCCGCAAGCTTTCTTTTTAATTAATAAATGATCGAGACGAATAACCGGTGTTAAAATAAAATTTTGTGCTGCTGTATATCGTGTTCCTGGTACGGCTGTTCTTGGTCGCGTATGACGTCCACTATTTGCATCACGTTGATGTTCTTTTAATACGTAACGATATGTTTCTTCAATTCCACGTTGTTCGGATAATTGCAATGGTATTTTTTGAAAAAAAACAAATATATCCGTAAAAAGACAACATTCAAATTCTGTTTTTTGTGTTGTTATATCTGGTAATAATTTTAATGTACCAGAATAAATCAAACGATTATTTGTAACTTCAAGACAATCCTTTAAAACAAGAAAAGAAATTAAAATATTTCAATGGATCAATTCTTTACTTGAAGATTTTGTAAATTAATTGATTTATCATCATTTGGTATTTGTATATCAAGATTTGATTTAATTTGTTTTAATAACGCTTCTTGTTCTTTTTTTAAACGTGCATAATTCATACGTTTTAATATACTATCAGCACATTCAACACATTTACTTAATTTTTCACTTTCAATTTCATCATCCGAAACAAATTTTTTCATTGCTTCACATAACATTTTTAATTTTGTAAAACGTGTCATTACAGATGGTAAATAATCTTTTAATGTTAAACGACGACATAATGGATTTGATTCACAGTTCTTTTTTGAATGAAGAAAAAAGAAGAAGAAGAAGAATTTTTAATTTATTTTATCTTTAAATATATTTACTCGCATAACTGCTGCAAAATCTGATGATTGTTCTTTTTTCTTGATTAATTTCAATGCTTGCGATTGATCTTCAATAAAATAAGCACATGCACGAGCAAATTGTTCACCTTTATCACCATCGAGCTAAGAAAAAAAGCACAAAATTTTATTTAATGATCAATATAAAAATAGATTCGTACAAATTTGAGAATTAAATCACCAATATGACGAACAACATGATCTTTTGCATCTTCACGATGTTGACGAAGTGCATATTTAAATTGAGCTTGAAAAAAAAACACAAGAATTAATTAATAGAAAATAAGTATTTCTTATTACTATGTAAATTAATAAGTTGATCAAGATTTCGAAATATACAATCAAGTTCAACCGGACTCATTCCTTGAAAACGTTCCATTGGTTCACGAAAACATTTTTTCATTATTTTTAAACCTTTTAAATGTGTACGTTCCGTATGAATTAATTCATTGATTGTTGTCTGTAATTTCCATTCACGTGATTGATAAAGTGCTTGAAGAACATCATTTGGAATAAAATCACTTAAATTTGGTAATGTATTCACATCAGCTTCAAGATCACTGTCACCATCAGTTATTGTTGATTGTTGATTAATTATATCAGAATTTGAAATGAAATCATTTGTCATTCTAATCATTTATATGAGTAAGATTATATTTATATGTATAAACTTACTTTTGATTTGTTGAATCTTGTTGTTGATTCATTGTTTCACTTTCAGCACGACTAAGAATTTCTTCAATTGTATTTCCACCCATTTGTGGATTACTAGAAAGAGAAAATATTCATTTGAAAAATTCGAATTAGAAAATATATGAACAAGAAAAGCAGCGTTTTTTTTTGTCAAAATGTCTTATGATAAAAATAAAAGCACATGCTGACGAATCAGCACGACAAAGATTATAATAAAAAAAAATAATAATATCATATATATTGTAAATTGATAACTCATGCGTTAATAATAAAAAAACGCTAAATAGTGAATTTTATTTGAATAATAATTATTCTCTTTCTCCTGCTCGTTTTCATCGCTATATACTATCATGCATTTGTTGGCAAAAATAAAAGAAAGGCAATGTGTAAATGAAAATCGACAATAGGTGAAAAAGAATTTAGGAAATAATAATAATAAAAATATATATTTATTCAATACCCCTCATCACTATCGTCGCTTTCACTGAAATGAATTATATTTTTTTATATATACTATTCCGAATAACATATATTTACCTGCTCGAACGATGTTTAGATGTAGGCCGATTTGGTTGTGGTTGTCGATCGCTAAAACGTCGCCCCAAACTATTTACATAAATAAATATTCATATTGATTTTTTCTATATTAAAAATTTCTTTTTTACGTTGAATTTTTATTCTGTTCTTGCGCAGATAATGAATTTCCATTGGACATATCTGAAATAAAAAAATTCATTTTATATACTTATTAAAATGTTCATTTACCATTGCTTTCATTTATAGTTGACATATTTTCATAAACATCATTTGCTAGAAAAGAAAAACATTCGAACTTATATAATCAATTTGAATTAAACTTACGAATAGTTTCTGGACGTTCATCATTCAAACTTACAGTTCTTGTTGGACCTAGAAAAAAATATTTAATCATATTCAATTCATTCATTCAAAAAACAAACATGAACACAGAAAAGATTATTCACGAGACGATATGAATTTTACGAAATAGAAAATACCGATATAAATTCCATTAAATAGAATATTATTTTGGCCGAGTGAACGTCGAGTTCGTTGTGGTAAAATAACTTGTTGTTGTATATTTTGTTGCATACATGAAAAATGCATGCCAAATAAAGGTGGAATTATACTATCAGCTGAAAATGATCCTGCGAGCGGATGAAATGAAGAGGATAGTAGTATACAAAAGATTCTTTTTAATTAACAATTAGATAGAGAAATCTCGAAACTTACTTGAAGGATTTTTTGCGAGTTTTCGTGGTTTACTTAGAACAGGATTTGTAATACTGTATGTTTTTCGATCTTTTAAACATTTTTCACTATTTAATGCACATTCACGATGAAATGCTTGTTGACAATCTAATCAAAAAATTAAAGTTATTTATTTATTCTACACCATACGTTTGAAATTATCATCTTACATCCACATAAATAACCTTGATAATTAATACCCCATAATGGTTTTGAACAAACTTGACATAAAGTTTGATAAATAAATTGATGTTCATTTAATTGATGATCTTTAATCCGTTTAGTTGTTGTTGCTCGTGGTAATTTTGATAATAAACGTTTTTGTTCTCGATCGAGAAATTTCGGAATTTTTTCCAATGGAATGTTCCCACATTTTTTAATATCACAACGTTTTAAATATGTTGCTAATGAACATATTAACGCAAGACTTAAAATATATATAGAAATAATTAATTGAATATTATTTTAATTTTCAAACATACTCTTTAGAATTTTTCATACTGTTCCAATCATCAATATTTGATTTATAATACGATTCAAATTTTGATCGAAGTGTTTCTTCAATAAAATGATTTTGTTTTGAAATCGAAGAAAAATCAACATCACGATAGTGACCTAAAAATTGTTGATAATAGAGATCGATCTAGTTAAATAAAACTTTAATTACCAGTTGTTCGTTTATGATTAAAATCAGGTAATTGTCGATCGATTATAACTGATCGTGCAAAATCTTTAGCATCATTGAAAATTAATTTAATATCATCATTGATATCTTGTGATTGAGTTTCTAGATAACGATTTATTGAATCGATTTGTAATTGTGGAAGGCCAATGTACAAGGGCTATATAAAAGAAACGAAAATTTTACTTCATAAAAAGGAAAAATACATACGCTGCCATTCATAGTGAATGTGGAATGAATTTCAAATATCCATCGAATTAATTCGGTTCGACTTTCTGCTTTTCTTACACGTAATTCTTCCGTTAGAAAATAGAATAACTAAATTTATTCAATATTATATATTTATCTGATACAAATTTATATGTATATTTACCAAGCAATTTGAATCACTGTTTGGGTCATTAAGAAGGAAACTAAGAAAAACAGTTAATGGTGCCCAATTAGATACATTAATAAATTGTTGTATATCGTCAAATGATGATATAGATGTTTTTGATGGTAACTAATTGATAAGAAGAATAATTAAAAAAAAACATTAGATTTTATTTTAGATATCAATATTTACTTCATTAAATTCATCATCATTATCAAATGTATCCTAAATAAATTCAAATTAATTAATTAATTGAATAAAATATTTTCTTACTCGAAACGTATTTCGATCATCCGTTGGAAGAATTGTATTTAATGGATCTCCATACTAAATAAATAAATAAATAAATAAATATATATATTAATTATATTATTAATATTAAATTATATAACGAATTGGATTGAAAGCAAAGCAATTAAGAAGAAATTATGACGACAATATATATAGAAAACTTACTTCATCACTGATATACCACTATAAGAATAAATAATGAAAGCTTTAACATTCGATAGCAAACGAATGAGTATAAAGTAATTAATTAAGCAGATTTTTTTTTAAAAGAATCAATTAAATAATTCTGATATCTTTAATAAAGCTAATTTATATATTTCTAATATCGGTGTCTATTACCTTTGAGAGTTCATAAGTCTCAGATCTCCCAGGATGTAATCTACGTTTAATTTGCTGTAATGGTGAACTAACTGCTGCCGGTGGTGGAGCTGTAGGAACAGCTACATTTATTATTTGTAGAACGGCTGATTCAGGTAATGAATTTTGTTTTTTGTGACCACTAGTACGATCAGATCGCTGTAGAAATATATGCGGGGGATTAGGATTAAATGAATTCTTAGTAAGTAATTGTAAAAAAAAGAAGTGTTTTCTTATTTGTAACTTACAGTTGATGTACGAGTTGATGATGATGATGATTCAATAAAGGAAGATGGTTGATTACCAAGATTTTCAGCACTGAAACTTGGTTTAACAGATGAAACATCAACCGATGACTAAATAGAAATTTATGTTAAATAATAATAAGAAACTTCCGATATGTACATACTTCAATTAAATCTAAACGTCGTCTTATTTCATTTAATTGTTGTTCATATTGTCGAATTTGATTTTCAATAAATGCAACTTTTGTTGGATTATGACTTGGACCTTTTGCTCTTTGTCGATCAAGATCTGCTTTTGATTTCTTTAAAAACAAAACATCATCTTTTTTTTTCTACATATAAAAGGAAAAATCGATCATACTTCAAGTTGTTTAGAAATTCGTTCATAATTTTCTTTTGCTTTTTTTGTATCAAATGTAGCTTGTAATGAATGTGAACTTATTGTACTATTCGATCGTTCCGGAATAGAACCTGTTTGACTATTTGTTCGAAATGGTACTCGACCATTTTGATTATCATTTGGAATTAATTTTTGTGTTGATATTGAATTTAGTTTTGGTTGACCAAGAAGAGTCAACTGAGCATATGAACCCGCTAATAAAAACAAAAAAAAGAAATTCTCTAGTTTTTTTTTTTCTTTTCTATTTATACTTTGAAAAAATAATCAAATAATGTATCTATTTCAATGACATAGAGGGTAAAAATATGTAGGATGTATCCTGTGTTATCTTTCTTTCTTTCTTTTTTTCTTCTTCATCTTTCTCTACTATAAACAGCTCTTCTGATTGTCATTAGTTTCGTCGTTTGCTTATACACATCTATAGAACGCACGACAAGTTAGAATAATAATAATCATAATCATAATAATATACAACGACAGGATATTGTTGATAGATTGAAAGAATATGATGCAGACAAGGACGAGGGCGTTTTGTGTTGATAGAAATTATCCGAAAAAAAGAAGAAGAAGAAGAAGAAGAAGAAAACTTTAGTTTTTTATTCTTTGAAAAAGCAAAGAATTTTTATGTTTTAGATTTGATATGATATAAATGACAAAGATTGATGAGTATGTAATGTAAGAAGAAAGAAGCCTTTTCTTTTGACGACATTCAACAAACGTTATCCATCAACATACAAGCGATGATATGAGATGTTGGGATAACATCGGAATGCTATAAACCATGCTTTGAATGCCACAATCACATGCATATTCAGTGAAAGAAAATATGGAAGGAAAAAAAAACGAAAAAATAACCTTAGTTGGATATAATTAGAGCTGTATAAAACTATTTGTAATATGAGAACAGACATTTTTTTTTCTCTTTTCCTTTCCAAAATATCAATAAACAGTAGTAGGGAAGAAATCTAATAGAATAGAAAACAAAATATATTTCCTTTTTTTTTAAATTAATTTTTCTATTAACACAATTAAATATCAGTTTTCTACGTCTAGAAGTCATAGACATACACATATATATATATATATAAATATATGTATTCATCAAGATGGCCTTGTTCAAGTTAATAATGTCTATGTCATTTCTCTTCATCATCTTTTTTCATGGTCAAATAATAATCTCATCTTTTGTTTTTGTCCATAACAAAGATTCTATTCATTTATTTCTTTTCATCTCAAAATGTCATTTTCTCGCCTTTATATGTCTGTCTGTCTATCAATATATATATATATATATATACACATACACATATATATGTATATGTATAAAACGTATCATCATCATATATACGTTGTTCATAACACTAATCGAATCGAAATATGATTACATTCTTAACTAATTGTGTATGCAAAAGCAAGCGAAGAAAGAAAAAGAAGGAGGAAAGAAAAATACGTTTCGTGCAACAATAACCAAACACCCATTGATAATAATAATAATGAAGATGATGATGATGCAAGATGATTTACCTGCATTGACACGATGATGATCCTCATAAGTTTCCGATTTCGGTCGTGGTTTCATTGTACGTCGTTGATGACGTATATTAGATGAATTTTGTGTTGAATGTAGTTCAGTTTCATTTGGATTAATGATATTAACTGAATGTGTATGTAAAGATGTTAAGGAACGATTTCGATGACGACTACTTGTACTCGATGTGAAATCTGATAGACGAGCAAGAAATGAATCATGTAATTGTGATACACGTCCGGTTAAATTCGATATTTGTCGTTCGATAACATTACGGGGGGGTACTCGAAATGAACGACGTGAACGTACTGATTGAGAAGTAGAATGATTCGATTTATTATTTGTTTGATTTGTTGATATTTCATTTCCTGGATTAATTGCACTTCGAAATGAATATGGACGAGGTTTTATTGCAACTGATGGTACTGATGGTCGATCATGTGATGTAAACGAAGTTGATGTTTGTATACGTACTGATGGTGGACTTGGTGGAGTTATATTTGTATTTATAGATGATTCTAATGAATCTGGAGCTGCTACTATTGGAATTGAAGTATTATTTGTACGTGCGGATGATAATGATTTGATTTGTGCTTGTTTTGAAGTATGAGTTACAACGGGCGTTAATGGAGCTTCTAATGTATAATTTTTCGTTGTATGTGAACGTGAAGTATTTTTAATAATAGTTGGTGATGTTGGTGAAACGATTATTTTTGGTGATAATGCTTCACGAGTTGATGTATTTCGAACTAAGGAATAAATAACTGCGATATCAGATACTTGTTCATCATCGAGAACATTATTATTGTTATTATTGTTATTATTATTATTATTATTACCATTTGTATTGTCAGTCCATTTTGTAACTGGCATAAAACTATTTTCTTCATCATGTTGTTCTATTTGATGTTCACTAAGATCAATGATCAATGGCTTTGGACTTGATGTTACAGCTGTTTTCGTCAATTGACGATGTAAAGCCATAGTTGGAATACATGATGTTGAAGAATTCGTATTAAAATTATTTTCATCATTTGTTACAGATGCTGGATAAACATCCATAGTTCGATCAACACGAACTGTGCCCAGTTTACCAGCTGGTATTCGCACCGATATGGCGGCGGCCATTTTATTGTTTTTTATCAGATTATCACCTCATATATTGATTGTCGAAAAATCTAAAACGTGCTTGTATGTGTACGATTCGATCAATATTCATCATGACATCACACAGGGGGGTAGATTGATCATGAAGCAAATGATTTTTTTTCAATCAAATTGCCTCGTTATATATATATATATATAACGAAGAGAGAAATGAGCGAGACATTGTACCTCGATGATATGAATGAGGAGAGTGAGTATGAGAATGAAAGAAGAAGAAGACGAAGACGAACAAGAAGAAGAAGAAGAAAAAATAATATGTACATAGACAGAACAGACAAATGAAAAGAAAAGAAGAAAAGAAAAGTGATGTTCAACGTTATGCCATCATAGAGCTCGAAGGTAACTAGTTGTCGCTACCACCTACTAATGTGTATATGTGATTGTATATGTTATATATTCAGAATGAAAGCTTGTTAATCTAGAATGCACAAAAACATTGCCTTAGCATATGGCCTCAGCGCAACTTATACTACGTACAAACGCGTAACAAAAGAAATCGTCCGTAATAACGATGATGACGATGATACACGAGAAGAAGACGATGCAAAGAGGAAAATCCTAGAGAGAAAGAGAGAGAGAGATGGCACTAGCCCACTCCTTCTACTCGATATACACGCACACACACACACACATCTACAAATATATATATATATATATATGCATGGGGATAAGAAGAGAAAGAGAGAGAGACAGGGAGAGAGAGCGCGCGCGCAGAACCTCTTAGATTAAGTTATGCGCACTGTTGATTATGTATATGTATAGAAAACTGAAGCGTTTTACGAGTCTTTCTTTTTTTTTCTCTTCTTTCCTGATAAGATTTGTTTGAGTGCAAAAACTACATGATGATTATTAGATGAAGAAGAGCAGAACATTGACGACAAAGAAAAATATGGAAATAATTAACAAGCAAAAGAAATACAGTCATTTGAACTTGTTCTATTAGTTTTATTCTTTATTCTATGTTTTTCTTGAAAATTAGATGTTGATTCGTCTATAAGACTGCAGATAAACACAAATAGTTGAGAAAACTGACGAGCTTAATCGACAATATGCAAAGACGGATGTCTTTTTTCATCTTCGTTATTTTATGTCTTTCTTTTTTTCTTTCTTTTTTTTGGATGTTTTCCATCATGATGATACATATTATCTTCTATTCTTTCTTTGATTCTGTATCATTCTATCTTAGATTTTTTTCTTCCCTTTAAACATCTCATCGATCATTGTAAAGTAGTTATTTATCGAGTCATGAAAAAAAACGGAAGATATCAGTTAGTTGTATTTCTCGTAGTAAATATATATATAAGTAACATTTCTTCTTCTTCTTCTTCTTCTTCTTCTTCTTTTATTTTTTGTGTTCCGAACTAAAATAATAACGCGATGATAAATGATTCTATATCTTTGTATGATGAAAATCAAGCGATGAGAGGCCGTATCGATGAAAGAAATGCCACTGGTCAATAAGTATTATAATGAAATACTACTGATGGAGACGGTCAACAAAGGAAAAAGAGAAAAAAATCTTGTTGACGTGATTGATTTGAGATGTTACAGAAAACAAGACGGAAATCAAGAGAGAAAGAAATGACAGGAGAAAAAAACAAACAACTAGTAACAGCAGAAATTCTGCTATGATGTTAGTAAAAACAGATTATCAAACTGATCGTTGTCTATATATCTTTGTCTGGTCGACGACGATGGTAACGACAATGTCTGATCAATCAGAACCGATGGGAAAAATAAACAAGCCATATGGTAATAGACGAGGCTGTGTTGTCGACACATTATAAAATTACTTAAAGAAACGTTGATCGACCACCGGCTATCACCAAATACGTGTATATATATATAACGATTTTCCGTTCAATCAAGCATATGTCGTTGCATTCTCTTTTCCTTTGTTTATTCAAACATTAGCGTAGTCGTATTGGGCCTTGGATAAACGATTTTCAAGGGAGGTAAAGACCAACATAGAATTTTGTTACATCATTGACTACGACGACGACGACTACGACAACAACGACAACGATTGACAGCGAAAAAGAGAAAGATGTAACATTATCGAGTCGAAGAACAAACGACGACGATTGATGATAATCTTTCACACATTTACGCATCCTCTCCTTTATGTGCTTACTCTCGCGTTCAAAGTAAAGAGATGAGAAAAAAGAGAAAGGCTCTTAATAAGAAGTAAACGCCCATATCGGATATACCGACCTCCCTATCTTAGAAATCTATATATTATGAAGTAGTTATTGATAAACATATTCGCTTTCTTTTCTCATCAAATAAGAAGAAAAGAAAATGTGATTTTTCATGTGAAAAAAAACCCGGAGAATATTAAATAAAGACAAACTTACATTTGATTAAATTGACTACATCAATATGAGTACAATGTGTTACACGCGTGCCATTGACCTAAAGAATAAAATATAAAAAATTGAACATATTATTACGTAATGATAGATATTAGAAATAAAATTATAAATTCAAGGTTTTCTTTTTATTATGAAAAAAATTCTTTTAAACAATTCATCTTTTGCTTAGATATGCTTATATTCATTTATTTGAAATTTTGAAGAGTAATACAATCAAACGATGATAATTGCATATTTCAACTTGAGATAAAAATAATAGTTATCAATATATTTGATCGATAAACAACATTAAACGATAATTAAAAGTTCAAATAGCTAAATAGACTTTATCGATATATTATTATTCAGGTGTTGAAAATAATCTTTATATTCATTTCTTCATTAAAAATTACTTTGATATATGACCTTCAAAATATACTCATGTTTGCTTACTAGATAATCATTCCTTCAATAGTCAAGTATCATCTATGATAAGGTATTTATATTTAACAGAATACAATAGAATGTGTCAGAGATTTTTAATAATCATTACAATTTTATTTCCTATTCAAATATGAAAAGTAGCTCTTTTTTACATAAGAGGATATATATATATATTGCTTCGTCAGGTTCAATGAGGCTTCCTATATACTTGTCTTTCTTTTTATTATCAATAACTACATCACTTGAAAGTCACAAAACTGGTTTTAATACAATTGTATGCAAGTGTCTTTTATTCTATCTTAATATTTCAATGTCAAGACATGTTGATTCAATTTTCTATCCATCTCTACATTTCTCGAAATATAGGACTGTTCAAAAAATAAATAATCAATCAAATCGAATGATGTAATCATCAAAAATAGATAACAGGTGTTCAATTTATTCCATATGTAATAGGTATATCGATTATATCAAGTTGTGTTCAATCAAAATGATTTATTATATAAAATATTAAATTTTTTATTTAACCAAGAAAAACATTTCGATAGATAATATTGTTATTTATTTCACACATATATATAGATCATTGAAGTGATTAACTTTTTTATGTGTAAAATACTTTTCGATACACTATATATCTTTTTTTTACAATTCAATAGAGAGAACGAACAAACAATTTGAATAGACTCGGTCATATTTTACAATCTTCGATATATAGTATACTACATGACAATTATCTACCTATTCTCTATGTCTCTCTCGCTCTCTCTCTATCATTTAGTATACCACAAAATCTTACAAAGAAAATAAAATGTATACGTGAGAGAAGAAGAAGAAAAGATAAGAATGGCAGCATAGTTTTTATAATGATTATGACGATGATACAGTTAGTTTAATTGAAATTCAATTTTTTTTTTGTTATGGTAATATTTATAATGATAGTCGATGGTTAGCTAACGAATGATGCAATGATAGATATAACAAGTCAATGCAAGCGAACCATAAAATGATAGTATTGGCACTAGTAGGTGCGATAATGGTTTATTGAAAGTAAAGAAGAGCAAGCGAAAGAGAGAGTGCATAGGTAAAAAAAAAAGAAGCAATATATTTAAAGGTGCTAAGAAAAAGAATAGTAGGCCAAATACGAAAAAAAGAAATGAGAGAATTCATTGTAAAAAGAATTTAGAGAGAGAATATAAAGCGAAACATCAGCCACTTAACAATACCTCATATATTTGTGAAAGACTAAGAAAACGAAAAAAGAAAAGACGATACGACAAAAAAATATTCATAATTTATTGTAAGTTTCTTTCCAATTGTCTATTTTTCAATGATGAAAAAAAGAATATTTAATCTATCTTCGAATAATGTAAAATATTTATTCATTCTTTTTTTTTCGAAGTAAGCATTTAATATAACAACAAATATTTGTTGTACAAAATGACAATGATTATGATCATTTCATAAGAAAATGGTGACAACTGAACATCGTCGGTTTAGTTCGAAATCAACACATGCTCCTTGTCCACCAACACAACATATATTTCAATCAGGTATTCCAATAAATCCTTCTTTATCGAAATCAACAAAAATTAAAGATTTACGTCAAGTTAATATATTAAATGAATTATATCCTTTTCAAGATATGAAAACACATGTTCAAGAAACAATTGAAATAATTCCTCAACCAGTTTCATGTGAACGTATATTTCATTCCTATATTGATGATCATACAAATTTACGTTCACGTGAATATATTAAATTAGATCAAGGTGTTTATATACGTTCAGATCAGACTGGTCATTTATATACAAATGATAATATTGATTTTGATCATCGATTTAAATTAGATTTCTATTCAACAACACTTTATATATTTCCAAAACAACGTCATGAAAAATTTATATCAGAAATCCGTTATATTCCTGAACATATAACAATAAAATATAAAACAACATTAGAATCCTTAGCAGCAACATTATCATCTCATGAGCATTACTATCAAAATATTCAAGATTTTTATCATATAACTAAAGACATTTTTTATCGAATTTAACATTTCTTTTTTTTTGTTTTTTGTAATGAAATAATAATAATAATAATAAATCAATCTTGCGAAGATTAGTCATAGAATGAAATAACGTACCTTTATAATTTGATCATTTACATTAATTCCAGCTTTATGTGCAGCACCACCTTCACGTACACTTAATACATAGACAGGATTATCACCAGATACTGTTAAACCATATCCAAATCGATCTCGTTGAATAATAACATTTTTTTGTTCGAGACCTATACAGAAGAAAATCTCATTGAAAAGACAAAAAATCAAATGAAATAGACAAACCAGTAGGTAAATCAGGCTCAGTTATGTATGATAAACTAAATAAATAATAATTTTTCTTAATTTTTATGATGAAAATTAATTATTTTCCTACCGTTCTGACTCCATATGGATATCAATCACCACTAAAATAATGTTGATTCATCTAAAATTCGAGTTTAATAATAAACAGAAGATATCTCGTTGAATTGATTGTTATTTTAAGAAGCACATAGCATAAATAAACATAGAAAAACAAAAGAAAAAAGCTTTTGATACGCAAGAATATGCTTGGTATATCAAATGATGATGAAGAACTGCCAAGGCATCGTCTCAGTCATTCATTCTTTCTTCCTCTCTTTAACTAACTAATCATTTTTATTGGTTATTAACAACCATTTCAAACTTTTCTTACATCGGTCAATCCTTTGTAAGAAAATTTTATTATCTAAATAAGATTTTAAATGAGAAAAATAAAGAGATTTTCTTAAATATCAATAGGAAATTAATATATTTTAAATTGTCGCTATATTCGTATCAATGATAGTAGCGTCATCTAGAGAGATAAGTTTCTTTAAAGAAAGTTTTTCATAAACTGAAAAAATTTTCGTTAGTAAATATAAGATAAGAACGAGACAAAAAGTTATTTTTTGTATTATAGTGATTTGAAAATTATCATGAAGGTTTATCTTAGCCAACTGTAAGAGTTATGGCTGATAGAAAATAGGTAAAATTTGTATGTTGGTATGTATGTCGTGCGTAATTTTTTCATCATCGCAGGTTAAAAACGAAAAAAAAAAAGAAACATAGAAAAAAGTGAAATATATATTTCATTAAAAGATCGCAGTGTTTGCATAAGTAATTGATAGTTTTAATGGAAGTCAAGTATTTAAACAGATGGTTTCGTCCTTTCCCTTGAAAGAAAAAAACCGCATGAAAACTGCGTCTTTCTCTTTTTATTGCTTTGACGTATATGAGTTTCTTTTTTCACCTTAGATCTAAGATAAGACTACTAATGTCAATATAGACGATTTACTAGTCCGAAAATAGTTGACATCTATCTTTCGTTTAGTGCATAAATTATATGCATTCATTGTAATATTTTTGAGAACGTAATAGTATTTAAGTCTTATGTACTTTTTTTATTAGAAATGCATATGCCACATCGCCACAAAAGAAAACATCGACATATTTTATTTCTATAACAAATTTTGAAGAGAGAAAGAAATAACATACCGAAAAAAAAAGAAAGAAAAGAAAACTTGAATTTGAATTTGAATTTTTTTTTACTTTATTTCATGTCTTTATATTATATAGTAGCGAAAAATAATTTATCCATTGGACAAATTTTTACTTCAAACTATGTAAATAAACATTATTTTTTCTTTATATTATAAAGCCGACATGCATATATATCTCTTTATACTTTCATTTCTACACATATTACAGTTTTACTTTATAGATGATTCGAAAGAATTAATAAAAGCAAATGTGATTCTTATTCGTTTGTTTTTTAATAATAAGAATAGCAGTTTAGTTTTCAATGATGTCAACTACAACATATCATCAGGTATTATTATATATATATATAGAGAGAGAGAGAGATCTATTTCGTATATTTATTTTTCCTAGACTCGTGTGCCAAAAGTTCATCTTCCTTCCGACACAACTTATCAATCATCAATTTCACGCTCAAGTTCTCGTTATAAAAGTACTCTACAAGTTGTAACATCAGCCCGTGATAATCAAACATCAAATAATAATCGACGTCGACGTCCTGATTCTGAAATAATCAATCCTGTTTCATCATCTTATAATACAATTTCAAATCATCGATCGCAACCTCAACAACAACAACAACAACAAATTTCATCTCTGTCTCATCAACCGAATTATCCTATTCCATTATCATCACGTTCAACATCATCTTCAACATCATCAAATCGTCGATCAACATTAACAGAAATCGCGCCAAATTCCTCATCCACTTTTTCATCCTATATAACATATAACAACAATCGTTCAACAAATCAAACTGATGATGTAACACGTGGTGTATCTGTTCAAGGTAAACGTTATTCAATTGATTCAACAAAATCTACTGCAAACCCAAATAATGGTTCCACAAAATTATCTAATCATTTAGTTATTATACCGAAATCAAAATCAAATCAATCCCTTGATAAACAGCATCATTCATCATGTCCTGTTTCTTATCAAAATCAAATTAGTTTAGGTACAATAACTATTTTATCTGATTCAAGTTCCGATAATACAATTCTTCATCATTTACCTGATCAAAATGAAACAACAGATAAATCTCAACAATCATTATATGATGAACGTTTACATCGTTCACCACGAAAACCTAATAATAATAATCATATAATTGGATCTCGATTACATTCAACATCATCCGTAGAAGACAAAAAGAAAATACATACACCATCTATTCATTATACAATTGAACCTATTGAAATTAATGAAGATATTAATGATGAAGATCATTTTGATTCAAAACAAAAAGCAATTCGTGAAGAAAAAAAACGTAAAGCAAATGAAAATGAACAAATATTAATCAATGTTGATGAATATGCATCTGAAATTTTAATTCATCTTAAAGAACGAGAAGTAACAAAAACAAGTTCTTTTTTTTAATCATTAAAAGAATTTTCTTATTATAATAGCATGCATCACGACCAAAATTAAATTATATGCGTAAACAAACAGAATTAACATGGGATATGAGAGCAATATTAATTGATTGGCTATCTGAAGTTGCTGATGAATATAAATTATATTCTGAAACACTTCATTTAGCTGTGAATTTTCTTGATCGATTTCTTTCACGTATGTCCGTAACAAAATCAAAATTTCAATTGATTGGTACAACGGCTCTTTATTTAGCTGCGTAAGTTTATTGTTATATTAGAAATAGGAAAAAAAGTCGTTACATCCGGAATACGGACACTAGGTTTTTAGGCAATTAAGGAGAAAAAAATTGACACAATAGAGTGAATAGAAAAAGAAAATGGCTCTATGGTAGAATAAACACAGGAAATTTTAAATGAACGGTTTTTTTTCAGTTGAATCAAACACATTAATGTATCAATAAAAAAGAAGCAAACCAAATCTCTCTTTCTTTTTTTGCTTTAAAGAATAATTGACATATTTTTTGTTTTGTTTACGTTAAAATTTTATTATTTATTATGGTAGCGTTACCCTCAGGCTATGTTAGTCATTGTTTTTAGTTAGATCGATACATTGTTTAATTCATTTTATTCTTGAATCTATCGAATTTCATCATTACCACTTGAAATGCTTCGATTTTAAATAAATCTTAATATTTACAAAAGATTCCCAAACGAATACATAACATCAAACAATTCTTCTTTTTCCACCTCTTTGAAAAGATAAACATACAATTCTTTATTTTTTTTTGTTTTTTGTTTTTAGAAAATGTGAAGAAGTTTATCCACCGAATGCAGGCGAATTTGCTTATGTTACTGATAATGCATATACAAAAAAACAAGTATTAAAAATCGAAGATCTTTTATTACAAACACTTCATTTCGAAGTATCAACTGTAACAACACATACATTTCTATTACATTATCTTAAATTAGCAGAAGTTGATGAAGTTACCGAAGATTTAGCAAGGGTAAGAGAAATTTATGAATAAGAATAGATATTAAACGCATGACTAATAATTGCAAATATCATACATGAATGTTGTAATTTCCGATAGAAGTTTAATCTTTTTACTTTTCCGTTAATTATAAATATGTGAACAAAATTCATTTAATATAATCTTAAAACTATTAGCAATATGCGAATGAATAGTTCCTGAACGCATATGTCAAATTGAAAGTGCAAAAAAGTAACTATATATGACTAATTTAAATTAGTTATATGAAGATTCTCTATTGTTGGATTTTTCTGAATGAAAATTAATATAAAATTAATAGATGTCCTTATAAAATAGAAAGAATTCTAAAACTGTTACAATGTCATCTAATATTTAATTAGAGTCTTTGTATATATTTTACAATAAGAGACTTGATGAAATTATAATAACATCACGTGTAATCTTAAGGATATATTGCTTCTAGTCAACATATTAAATCTTAAATATTATTAGATTTTATTAATTTTTTTTATAAAAATTACAATCATCTCATATTTAATAAATACTATCAATTATTTTAAGTAGTTATATTTTATTCATTGATAAAGAAAAAACAAACATTGAAATTGATTTTAGTCTCAGTATATATATATATTAACTTTGTGAGGAATTTATTATCAAAACAAAAATCTTAAAAATAACATTTATCATTAATATGATGATTGCAAAAGTATCACTTAAAAAAGAAGAATTCTTGAACTATTATAAAGTGGTACTAGTTGTAAAAGCAATAGGATTAATAGAAGATGACGTCAAAATAGAGATTATAAATTCTTTTGTAAAATTTATAAATAAGATAATTAGGAGGATTTCCGTTTAAATCCAAAAAGATGTCATAACGATTTCAACTAATTTTTGTAGTAAGAAAAATAAAATGACGTAAAACACATTTTAAAGGTTTGATAAAAAACAATAACAAATATGTTTATTTAGTTTGGACTAGACGCATATTTTTAACTTGATAAAAATAAGAAGAAAAAAAAATGTTTTTTTTTCAGTATATTGCTGAATTAACTCTACTTGATCCTGAATGTCTTCAATATTTATCCAGTTTACAAGCAGCAGCTATACTTTGTCTTGCACTTCACATGTGTCGCAAACCACCTTGGGTAAATAATCTATTTAATCTATCTTATTATTTCTATGATTTCTTGTTTAGTCAAATAAATTAAAACGAACAACTGGCTATACAATTCAATCATTTTATTCAATAATGGAAAAAATTTTCTGGCTTGTTGCTAAAGCACATGTACATGATAAATGGGCAATAACAAGAAAATATCGTCATGTAAAACATCACTCTGTTGCTTCAATTGAATTACCAAAAACATTACCATATATTGATATGGATAATGATTGTAATTCGATCAAATAATTAAATATACTGCATTTGCGTTTTTTGTTTTTTACTGCCGTCCATATTTTTCTTATTTGTGATTATTTATAATGTATGTCAATTATTTTGACATAGATTATTTTCTTTTTTTTTCTTTCTTCAATGAATTTGTGTGTGTTCTTAGAACAACAGAATTCATTCATTCATTCTTAAAATAATGTTTTATTATGCTATGAAAAATCAAAATTTCATTTTATGTTTCTTTTTTCTTTTCTCTTATATGTATTTGTATAAATAGGCAATTTTTTCTTAACTATAAAAATATTGAAATACCAACAGATTTGTTTATTTTATCGTTTTAACAATTTATTATTTAGATTAGTATGATAAATAATCTTATTAATACTTTTTACTAATTTCTCATTTTTAAATGCGTCGAAAAAATTGTTTTATGATATATTCTTCTGTTTGTTTCTTTTTGTTTTTGCATTTTTTACCTGTGAACAGTTGTACCTAGATATTTAATAATTACAAAACAAACAGAATGTTTTTTACGTGTGTGCATGCATGTCTTTCCTAATCGACTCACTAATGATTATGAAGTAGACAGTTAGCTCTATAATATTTTCGTGACATCAAATAAGAAGAAAGATTTATCATTATCATTCCATAATATAATAAATTAGAACGAGGTCTTTTACTCTGTTATAACATATTGAAATAAAAACTTTCTATATAAATGTACATGCAAAACAGAAAACGATATATAATCACCGGAAATTTTCTAAAATCATGTTTTTTTTTCATTAGTTTATATATATATATGTATATATTATGTTTTATTTTGTTGACTGATGAATATTTGTTGTTGACGTAATGTACGATTTAAACTAGCTTGTTCATGTAATTTAAATGATTTAAAATTACTCCGTAACGAACTATTAGGTGTGACAGTTGTTAATCCTACTGAATCGTAATCATTCATATTTCCATATTGTTTTTCATTATAGAGCGAATTAAATCCACGTAATGTTGAATTTGAATATTCTGAACGTTTTGATGTTAATGAAAATAAACGTTTTAATGCACGACGAAAATTTCCACCAAATAATAAATAAATAACAATATTAATTGAATAACTTAAATATGACATATAATGAAAAATAACATCTCGATAAAAAGCAAAATCAATTTCATTTGAATGTGTTGTATCTGTTGATGAATCTTCTTTTGATTGTTTATATAAAAACATAAAACGAAGATAATATGATGGAAAATTTAATGAAAGACATGTTAATGATATAGCTAAAAGCATTTTTGTTAAACGTAATTCAGTTAAAACATGTCGTTGTGCTGATTCATTACGTCGTGATACAGGTGTTTGTTTTGTTCTTATACTTGATGATGTTGTTATTGTTGATTGTTGTTGTTGTTGTTGAGTTTCATTTAATTGAATATTTGTATTATTTAAATTGGTTTGTGTCGATTCAGAATTCGTAAATGTTCGATATAGAGATGATTCCGATTGTGTTGCTGCTGGATGAAAAGGACGTATTAAACGTTGTGAACGATATAATAACGGACTTATTTGTTGAAGAGTTGGTGTTGATGCTGATGATGATGTTGGTTGTTGTTGTTGTGGTTGTGGAGTTGAATTTGTTTTAAATGACCAATTTGATGTACGTCGACATTGATATCTCGATCCATTAGCAAAAACATGTTGACGAAATGTTTTTGAACAAAAAAGTTTATTAATAATAAGTACATTTAATATTGATACAAGAATAAATGGTAAAAACATTGTCATTATTGTATCAATTATATTTAAATTAGTTAAATAACGTTCATAACCATCTTTTTCTCGACATTGTCCTTTATCATCAACTTCCGAAACAAAAAATGCTGGATGTATATAACATATCAATGCTGGAATAATTATTATAAATATAACACCACGAGATAAATTAGGCGTACATTGTGACATATGTTTTAATGGAAAATTTACAGCAAAAAAACGTTCAGCTGTAAATCCAAGCACCATCCATATGTGTACAAATGAAGCAACAAATGAAATATATATTTGAACATGACAAATAAAATTAACTTTATGATATAGATCAGTAACAAAAGCTGTATGAATCATACCAGGTAATAGATCAAGAAGGAAGAAAACATCAATTAATGCCAAAGTAAATAAATATGCTGATGAACGAATACGTCTAAAAAGGATTCATATTATATGGAAGAATATTGTTAGACCCTTGTTTACATACCTTAATGATTTCGTAAGAAAAACAATTGCACAAATCGTATTTCCAAAAACACCAAGTATAACTAATGTAGCAACATAAACAACTTGAGCATATCTCATATATGTATTTTTACTAATTGATGATACTGATGATGTTCGATTTAATGATTGATTTGTAATAATAAATAAAGACGACAATGTTGATGTCAACGATACATTATATTGATTCATGACTTTTTTCTCTTCCGGTTCTTTTTTAATAATAATAATTGTTTAATATTGAATGATTACTGATCGACATTTTATGTATATGTGTCGTTACCTACTTTGTACTCAATCAAAATGAAAGTATGCACGTTGAAATTGTTTCTGAAAAAGAATTTAGTTTATCAACAAAGTAATGATGACATTCTTCTTTGAAAATATTCTATAAAATACATCACTAACTAATATCTTTCCTTTTTTTTTTCTTTGTCTATGGTTTTTTGTAAGAAACTATAAGATTTTCTTTCTCGACGTAGTAGTAGTAGTAGTAGTTGTCATTCTCGTTTTTCTCTTTTCTTTTGCTACTGTGGACATAAATATGTCTATAAGACATTATCAATGGTAGGCGGAATATAGAAAAAGAAGAGAATAGAGGTAATTATCGAAGATAAAACAAAATAGAGAAAAATACAATCAAAAAATTTGTTAATAAATAAGAAAGAATTAAGTTTCAATTTAAATATTAATACAGACTAAGAAATGACTCATGTTAAAGTTATAAAGAACATACTTATATATTTCCGATCTAATAATCATAAAAGGAGTTACTCAAGTGCAACTTTTATATTGATAATACTAGAAGAGAAAAATGAAAAAGGAGTGGAGTATAAACTCGATGTGAAAAAGTTGACGCCTTCGATACTTTTGATTATACTCATTGATAAGGATACGCATGATCGAATGTTCAAGTCATCTAATCAATGTTCATTCATCCATCATATGTTGTCAAATTAAAAATCTTTAACTATCATTGACTACTAACCCGTTAGATAGTACATGCATGAACAAGAAAAAACATAGAAGTAACAAATTGATGAGTATTTCTTGCTTTCTTATAGTATGCGTATTTGTTTTTATCCCATAGATTAGTATGCACACGACACTTTCCGTTTTTTCTCTTTTTTTCTTTTTGTCCGTAATATTGTTGAAAGAGAAAAAGGAGAAAGAACTAATTAGATCTTAGTTGACGGTAGAATATCATGAGTAATGATCATAAAAACGAGAAGCTCACATTTCGAATGCTATAGGCGATCGGAAGATCACCAAAGAAAGAAAGAAAGAAAGAAATCCATCAAATAAATATGTTGTTTCTGATCTATATATTGCCTACGCAGTTCATAGGGGTAACTTTCAATACACAATTATGATCGTTGTATTTGATGAAATAAATAAACGATTTTCTATTCATAAGTTTGGTAATAGTAGAATATTAAAACATAGAGAAATTAGTTTTTTATTGGATAAACCACCAACACCGAGAGTAATTAGTCTAGACAAATTTTTTAGTAAGTTATCAGACAATTATTTAAATATAGAGATTTGACTGATTTTGTAGTAGCAGTAGTTTTCAATAAGATTAATAAATATTCACAAATGAAATACTATATTCTCAGATAAATACTTTGCTGACAGAAACATCATCAAACGTCTGTAGTTTATCTCTTAAGATTGTGTTTGTCATTAGTGCGTGACATTAAAATATATTCCAAGGACACAAATAAAGATCTATCGTATATATCCTATTAGTCTAAGTCCAATTAAATTAAAAAAAAACAAAGATTTTAAAACATGCCATGATACCCTAATTTACAAGTGAACTTTTTTAGGTACCGTATTAATAATATATATATATAAATTCTTAATACTAAATTTATGCGTGGGTATAAAGAAACATGTTTTATTGTATATCGGCGAAAAAGAATCTCGATAAATTACATTACATAATTAGCAAGAGAATATATATACATTATCCATACAATTATAAATCATTGGATATTAAAATATCTACTTTCTCTGGACTATATTAAGTTCATTGAGTATAGTTCATAGAAATTGATCTATAACAATGATGTAAAAAATAAAAGTAATTGATACAGGTAATTTTATAAATGAATCATAGAGTACTGTTTGAACTAGATACCATATCATAATTATATTAATATTGTAGATAGCTCGTGCTTCGTTGCATCGAGTAGAATAACAACAATATGTTTTTTCCCAGCCAGGATAATTTGGATTTTGTGATAAGCGATAGTTTGACTGACATATCATTGAATCATTCATGGAACGTTTTACTGCACCACGATAACTATTTTGATATTCATAATTACTATCATAATAGTTTGTTTTCTATAATAAAATTTGATGCATACTTTTAGAAAAAGAAATCATAAGAATCATCTTACGCACGAAACAACTAATAATTGGTTCCATTAACGGATTGTTACTAGAGCTAACGGCTATATTTTTCATTTGTTCACGATATTTTACATTGTTACTAAACATAGATTTTGATGGAAATGGTTGAGGGCAATAATAGCCTTGCTCATCATTACAATAGTAACATTCCAATGTATGAATAGTATGACTACTATATAAGGCTAAAAAGTAAAATGATTACATTTAATTCTTTTCCTTTTGAAAAAATCAAAGAAGGTGTTCAGAACAACAGTGAATCTCAAATGTTATAAGAAATGAAGATAGCTTAAAATCATTTTTTGAGATTTGCCTGTGATCTTCTGACAGAATCTATGTAATTATTATATTACTTATACAATAGAATAATAAATCCGAATACTTACTAATAAAAAGCAATAGTTGCAACATGGAAGAAGAATGTTTATATTAACCTTAATTAGTTAAATATGTGGCGCACAAAATCACATTTTTTCATAATTATATGATACTCACAAGTCAATGTACTTAATTTATACAATCAAAGACAATAGAATAAGAGAAAAGTAGTTTTTTTAAACTTCAAGTAAGCTTATAATATAGTTTAAAAATAACATTATTTATATTACACAGACAGTGACATTGCATCTTAATGATATAAATTTATCATTTTGTTTAATTAATATGACAAGACTCCTTGTCATACGAGTAATATAACTTAGATTTTCCGTATCATTTCAAAAGGTCAATTAAAGTAAATGTTACGCACATTATTTTATACATAGACATTTTGTCTGTTTATTATAATATTGATATGATAATAATAGTTATGTAAAAGTTACGACAATACTTGAGAGCTTAGAACAGCTTAGTTATCATGATCTAAATAAAAATAAGCACATGTAAAATGTGCATTATTAGTCACTCCTAAGTACTTGAAAAGAGTAAGCTCTTATGAATAATCGAAACATTGAATGACTTAGCAATTTACAATAATTGAAAATGTCAACACTTAAATACTTATCAACTATTTACAGAACAAGCATCGAGCAAAAGCTATCTTTAATAATCAAAAAAAATATATATATATAAAACGAGTGCTTACAAAAGACTCATGCTAGAAAATGTTACGTGACTAAATCTATAGATTTATGTAAAGTATTCATCAGCATATATATTATATAGAGTTGTTATACGACATTCATTTTATCTGAGCATATAACTGATCAAAAAAATAATATGTAAACGTTTTAAAAAGTCAATAGTTACGAGATCTACAAAGAGTTTATTTTTATCATAATGGAAATGCGTAATAATAAATAAACGTATGTTACAAATTATTACGGAAGAGATTAATAAACTGACATTTTTGAAATCTAGTTATAACAACTGTCATATAGATGTTTATCGATGATATTTTCATGACATTATGGGCAGATATATCTTTCAAGATTCATTTTCTTTATAATGCGTTGATGTACTAATCAATCTATTAATAGATAATGAAATAGTTGATTGTTATAGTTTATAAAACCATTCAAAAAAAGAATTCTCACTTAACTGTCTAGCACTCACCTACGAGCCTTTCGTTTTTCATTTCACGGTCTGCAGACAGCAAAAAATACTACATTTTATTACAAACATAAGTGTGAAAGTCAATTAAAGAATACCTGATACACATTAAATTAACGTATATATTTCTTATATTAATTATTGATGACAAAGAAAGTATCATGTTTGCTTTTCTCAATCATAAAAATTTTTCAATTTAAATGCTCTATATCGCTATCGGAACTTTCCATTGTAGGAATAATGATATAATCTTGAAATTATTTGAGAATAAATATATCAGTGTGATAATTGATCTTATATATTATTCAGACAAGTGTTAATATTTGAAGGTAATATGATATTTCATATCTTTTTTTTTATTATGGAAAAATTTCTATAAATAGTTTTCAGTATGAACTTCCTATGGTTAAGTTCAGTCATCAGACTACTTGAAATCTCTTACATGATATAAAATGTATTTACACAATTTAAAAAAACAAAAAAAAAATGTTTACATTATTTAATAGAAAAATAATAAGTAATTGAATCCCGAAATTGCTAAATGTAACGTTAATATTGTCTACTTTAAAATGAAGAAATGGAGAGAAAAAAAAGAACTCTTGTTGTTGTGTTTGTAACCATCGTTAATCACAATCTCTAAAACTGAAGAATAACATTCAATTTTTTTTAAAAAACATCAGTACCATAAAATCAACGAAAATATTGATCTTGACCGGTTTCATAGTTGTTATTTCACGTGTTATAGTTTGATAGCATTTATTTTTCATCAAAACGGTTCCATTAAATTATTTTACAAAATAAAAGTAATACGATGGGTAATCAAAGTTCTCGTGTAGCGCCTGCAAAATCTTTACATATACTTGATACTCAAACTCGTACACGTTATAAAAATCAACGTGAAAATAATAATCTTCGTCGTAAACTTCGTAATATAGGTATTCAACATCATGATGAACTAACTCGATTAACCCATGGTGAACAAGATGTTAAAATGAAATTACATCAATTACATTATGATAGAATACAAAGAGATTTATATAAAAAAATTGATCAACGTACGTAAATATTCATTTATTTCTTTGTCTTTATAAATTCATGTATTGTTTTGATTACATACAGAAACATCTGTATACATTCTTTGTCGCCTAGAACAAACTTTATTAGTTAAGCGAATAATTGGTTTTACCATATTGTAAGTCTGTCTGGAAAACGCAGCATTTTGTTTATAAGAATCTTTATGAAAAAATTCGGGTTAGTTTGATCGAAAGAGAATCTCTGACGTCATGTGAAAACATATTAACGATTATCTATAAATAAGAATATACTCAATGAACTTAAATAGATTCATGATACCTAGAATTTGATGTTTAATATTTATATAGCGTTCCTTCATGTATGGAATTTTAATATTCGTTGATATTTTATCAATATATTCGTTTGTGAATATTTTGAGTCATAGATGTGTTGCAGTGAATTCAAAATAGAGGGTCTTCTGTTTTTTTACCATTATTTTTCTTGAAAAAAAATATTTTCAAGTGTAATGTATTCAAGGTAAAATTTCAATTGACTGAGAAAAACAAATTACTACATATAATAATGTTAAATATGAATTTTATTTAGCACGTCCAAAGACCACAGGATCGTTCTTCAATGTAGCTCATCTTGATAATCCACCACCACGTGATAGTGATATTCTTATTCTTCATAATTTATATGAATCACAAGTACATGACAGAGCCAATGCAGTATTACATAAATCAAGTAAAGCATCAGATAAAGTTCAACCATTAAGTGGTTTTCAAAAATTTCAATTACAATATTCATCAAGATTTGAGATGAATCAAAATCAATTAGAACAAAATGAAAAACATTTGGCAGCAAATAAACATTCTTTAAAGAAAGAAACTGAACTAATGAAAAAATCAATTAAAACAGCTGTTGCAAAAGCAGCACGTGATTCACATGTAGTTATACGTCGTGATGCAAATAGTTTTTAAATGAAATAAACTTGAGAGAGAAGATAAATCCAAATCTTTATTATTATTATTATTAATATTGAACAAACAGAAAAAAACTTCCATACTTCTCTCTTAAATCAGATATGTGTGCGTTTTATTGTGTTTTGTTTTTCTTGCTTTTTAAAAAAACGAAAAGTAGATAAAGGAATCAACGTAATATACAAAAACGCACACTCATTCAATTCTTGACCGAGAAGCAACAGTAGTAATAGCAATAGCAGCACAGAGTATTCAAAGAAAAGAAAGAAGTTATAGTAAATAATGATGAAATATACAATAAGAGAATAGGGAAACGACAAAGGATAAAGTAAGAGTAGAATAAGAGAAGAAAAAACTCAATATTTTTTGTTTTGTTCTTAGAAACACACGCACGCACACGACTAGGTAACAAAATGTTTATATGATATATATATATATATATTTGTTTGTTTAAATGTTTCGACTAGCAATTTCACACACGTAATGATGATCTTTGTTTAGTTTAAATCATAATACAAGCACCTTTACGTTTCTTCTTTCGAGCTAATGCAGCTCGTGCTGCATGTTCAAATACTTCACGTACACCTTCAAGGAAAATAAAATAAAATTTAAATACACAAAAAAGAAAGAGAGCTTTTCTTTACCTTCTTTTGTCTTAGCTGAACATTCAAGATACCCAACGGCACCGATTTTTTCAGCCATATTACGTCCTTCTTCACTACGTACAGGTTCTTGTTTCATTTTCATTAATTCTTTTTTTGTTGCTTCATCATTACGTAAATCTTTTTTATTTCCAACAAGTACAATTGGAACATTGGGACAAAAATGTTTTACTTCTGGCGTCCATTTCTTTATGAATTAGAAAAAGAAATACTTTAAATTTTTAAAAGAATATTATTCAATAGTTTTCTTACCTCAGGTATATTCTCGAGACTGTCCGGACTATCAATAGCAAAGCACATAAGAATAACATCTGTATCCGGATATGATAATGGACGTAAACGATCATAATCTTCTTGACCAGCTGTATCCCATAATGCTAATTCAACTTGTTTACCATCAACTTCAATATCAGAAACATAATTTTCAAATACAGTTGGAACATAAACTTCAGGAAATTGATCTTTACTAAAGACAATTAACAAACAAGTTTTACCTAAAGATAGATAAATAAGATAATAATTTTTTTCTTCAAAAGAGATTCATTTATATAACATACCACAAGCTCCATCACCAACAATAACAAGTTTTTTTCTTAAGGCAGCCATTTTAAAAAAATTAGATTAAATCTAAAATCAACATAAACAGATATGTTTGATTTTATATCTATATGCGTATATATATACAGCTATGTGATAGAATAAAAAAACATAAACAACAGGGTATATTACACGAGAACTGTACAGATACCATTATAATAGAATGTTAATCTTTCACATGATGTTTTGCGATTATTCATTATTTTTAAATTCGTTGCAATATAAGAGATTTATATAACTAACACTATGAATAAAACAAACAAGAAAGTATGACAAAGAATGATTCTATTCGAATTAAAATTTTATATAAGATAAATATAATAGATGTCGCTATTTATCAAAGATATATAAGTGCGTGTGCGTGTGTGTTTTTTCTTTCGTCCTTATCTCATGATTATTAATAATCAATCTAGTTTTTCTTGATTGGAACAGTATGTATTTAATTGATATATAAATATCTTAAGAACTATTACATATTATGAATGAGAGCGTGTGTGTTCATTATTTATTTTTTCAATATTTCTATATATGTTAATAATTATCGGAAGAAAAAATAGCATGTGATATAAATTATGACGTCGTTACAGACGGACACAGTTAGTAATCTTTAAGCTTCGTTGTCAAATATAATCATATCAAATTCAATAAGCTGAACTTCTCACTTAATGTCTATATGAATAACAAGATAATGACGTTAAATATGTCAATGTGTGCGTCATATTTGGATCTATAATCAAATGTCAGAGAGGAAATAGTAATTCTAGCGATTGATTACTAAGGAAACAACAGATCAACAGTGGCATATATAGAAAAAAGATAAGTGAATCAGAAAAAAGAAGAAGAAGAAGAAAGAAACAGAAGCTAGGAAATTAGCTTCAAACTATTCAATTAGTCCCATCTATCATCGTCATTGTGTTCGATGCTCTCGAAAGGAAAACCCGTCATATCAGCACCTTTCTTTCCTTATTGATAAAAACGCCTTAAGCATATATATATGTATATGTATGTATGTACATCATTTTGGTGTTCTATCGTCATCCTAATGCTAAGAAAGAGAGACAGATCCGATGAGAGATACGTTTTTTTTTCTACTATACATATACATGGAATAGTATAGAGAAATAAGAGAAAGTTCTTCTATATACTCATATGCTCCTTTTTCCTCGAACACATTTGCGTGCATGTCTGATCTTTTTTGCACATCTCTTCTATTGGAAATATTATTGAAAGAAAAGAAAAGAGACATGAATGAATATATAGAAAACTATTGCTGCTGCTGCTAGTGATAGCTTTCATATCAAGGTCAGAAAATTCTTTTCCTGTGGTGTTAACGAGATTGATTGACACGTTACATGTTGAGAGTGAAATTGACGTGTGTGCCAATCGGGCTACTTGTCATGTCCATCATTCATCACATTATATCGTTATAGTATTATAGACACTTTATGGTAAATTCGGACAGGTAGGTGGAAAATAGATATACAATTTTCTTATTATAAAAACAAACTATCATCTTACCAACAAACTCAGTTTAGTTCGTAGTTTTTTTTACATATATGTACATTTGATTATCGCCTTTCTTTTTCTATATTGATCTTACACACACAGTTTGTTCTTTTTTTTTCTCTTCTTTTCTTTTATTCATTGTATTGAATATAATTCAGTTGAAGTGCCATATTTAGTTATAAGAACATACAAAAAATTCCTGGGAATATTTTGAGATAGATACAGTTGGTATTACCACTACATTGAATATGAGAAAAAATGGTTGTTATCTATTCATTGCATTCATTCTTGAATAGGGAAATTATAATAAATGACATCGGAAAAGAATGTCGAAAGACAGTTGTTTCTGATATATATGTTTTTCTTTTCCTTTTCTAGACACAAAACGTATATAATGTTTATTTTATTTTTACTATCTATTTTACATTTAACAATAAGTCAAGATATTTTAAATCCACATATATTTTCTGATTGTAAACATTTAATATTACCAGCTCGTTGTCAATGTTATCATTCAGGTCATGAATCACAATTACGTTGTCTTAAAAGTGAACTTCATTCATTACCAAAATTACCGAATAATATGCGTTGGAATGCATTAGATTTTTCATATAATTATATAACATCTGTTGATAATTATGTGTTTGCTGATATCTATGTTGAAACGATAAGTTTAAAATCGAATTATCTTCGTCGAATTGAAATAACAGCATTTGATCATATTAAAAATTTAAAAGAATTATTTATTAATAACAATCAATTAAAAGAACTCTTTCCTCAAACATTGACATCACCAGGTTCTAGTCTAGGTAAATATTTTACTTATTCAAATAAGATTTTCTTTTATTTTTCTTTTCGAATAGAAATATTTGATGTGTCATATAATCCATTTCAATATTTGGATATCGGTGAAATTCTTCTTAATTTACCTATGTTAAAACAGTTTCATGTTGTATCTTGTCATTTAAATAATACAAGTATTTATACATTAACAAAATTAATTCCAAGTCCAGCTGATTTACATAATCAAACAAGTACAAGACATGGCCAACTTTCCTTAGAAATCCTTGATTTAAGTTATAATAATTTAACAACAATATGTCATAATTTATTTGATGGGTTATATAATTTAATTGAACTTCGTCTCAATCATAATTCAATACGTTTAATTGATAATAATTTTCTTCATACATTTTCACAGATAAAAATTATAAATTTAGCACACAATCTACTCGAACAGGTCCCTAGACTATCTAGTCGTTCCTTAGAAATTTTAAATTTTTCAACGAATCATATACATTATATTGGTGATTATTTTGCTTCACAACTTCGTTCAATACGTGTAATTGATTTAGATCATAATCATCATTTAAATAATACATCAATTCGTGCATTTTGTTTTTTAAATATATTAACATTAGAAAAATTAACATTTCGCTCAACTAATCTCATATCATTAGATACATTTGGTGAACTCTTATGTCGTTTAATTAATGTAACACATAAAGTAAATACTATTGATATAAATAATAATGTTAATTTAAAATGTGATTGTACATTAATACAATTTCAAAATTATTTAAATAATTTCAAGGATCTAACATGTACACAACATGGACAAGATCGATATTATATATCAAATCCATTAAATCAACTTTCCAATTGTCAATATGATTTTTGTTTAAGAAGACAACAACAGACAGAAGCAGATTATTGTAATTATTATGATGCTGAACGTGTTGTATATGAAGGAACATGTAAAGCTAAATTAATAGCAAGTGAAGAAAGAAAAAAACTGAAACTAAAATCAATGTCAACAACAACAATAACAATGACAACATTAATTGATTTGAAATTTTTCGAAAATATAACTGAGAGTAGAAATTTAACAAAACTAGGAAATTCAACAAAAATCCAAATAGAAAAAAAACAAATATCAAATTTAATATCAATAAACAGAAAAAGTTTTATATTATTAATTATTTGTTTTCTTTTCTTGTTATTGTAGTAAAAAAATATAGATTAGTGTATATGTTTTTTCAAACTTTTCCTTCTTATTATTGTTGTACAAATGACATTCCATAGATTTTTGAGGGTTTGTCACAAACAAATAAACAGTAGAAAGTATTTATAAATCTAAGACAAAAAAATATTACCTATACATATTAGTAAAATTCTTTTTTTTTAGAATCAATAAATTATACAGTAAAAAAAGTTTTTTTTAAAGATATTATTCTGCATGGAACTAGAATTATATCACTATCACCTTTTTTTGTTAGTACAAAATGAGTAATATGAAATACTATTTAAAGCATTTATGAAGTATAAAGTTTTTCTATTTATTGATCAAATATTGGTAGTAGACACAATGTGTAGTGTCTATAAAAATAAATAATATTTAGTCTAATGGAATCGGATATGTTTTGCTTATATTTGATAGGCTTCGAATACTGATGACTGTTAATATAATAGAGTTGCTTTAAAATACTAACAAGAAATTCTAATTTTACTAGGAGATAAAAGTAATTAGATTACTCGAAAGTTAAGAAAATAAAAGTAAACTTTTCAATGAGTTAATATTCTTTCGTATACAAGAACTTAACCCTTTCCAAAAATGCCGTACCTCCCTACGGCAAAATATTGCTATTTGACGACATTCGGCCGGAAAGAGTTAAATAGAATTTCTATTCTAGATTCTTTGAAAACTTAATTAAGATCAAATTAGTTAAGTAACTTTTATGAATATAGATTCAGTTAATTATCGATCAATAAAATTCATAAAAACCTAGCATCTTCATTTTGTGGGATAAAAATCTTTTTTAAATATTATTACAATTGAGAAAAAAAAATGATTGTACACATCTGATATGTATGTCATTCGAAATATGTCTGATGCTCACGATTAATCTGGAATTTTGATTAAGACAATACATTGTGATGAACATACTTCTATCGTTAACAAATCTTTTGTAATATAGTTAAAAATATTTTCGTTTTCATAAAAAATCCTCAGACAACAACAAAAAGTTTCTTATTCGTATTAGTAATTCTTTTTTGAATATCTTGAAAATATTTTTTTTCATAAATTTGTCTAATACTTCAAGACCATGAATCTATATGTGTGTTGTGATAATTTACTTTTTACATAAATACAATCATTACATGATATATTCTCGACAATAACTGTCACGAAATACTATTATTGAGAAAATATGACATGTCGTCTGTTATATTTACCTTGGCCTTCGTATGATTTATTTAAGTGATATAATTTTCTTGTATAAATTATGTTTTAGAAAAAACTTGGGCGAAAAAAAAAATCAATCTTTCTTTATGTTTTGTGTCAATACAAAATAATAATCTTAAACACATATCGATTTGTAAATAAAAAAAAAAGGCACAGACGAATAAATATAATTCATAGTGAACTAGTAAATTTATTATTAGCTTATCTAACAGTCACGTCGATGTTTATAGTCAATAGAATTCCATTTTAAACTAATAGAAAATCCATTTATTACTATTAATTCATTCATTTGGATAGATATGAATTCCCAATAGACAATAAATCTTCATTCAATACCTTTCGAGATCAAGGTTAATACATTTATAAATGCCATTTCTTGACATTTTCCTGTACATCAATTCAGTTTGATTATCAAGGACATAAATAGTTCATTCAATGTTGAATCAATCATTTCTTTTTTTTTGAAAAATAATATACAAAATTTCTCATATCATCTCTTATTAATTGGTTTAGAAATATTTAAATTATATAATTGAATTTATTTGAAAACTAGTGTCGAGAAAAACAAATCTAATGGTTTATTCGTTTCTATAATATTTATCCATTAGAAAATATCAATTAACATAGTTCCAACAACATTCATGTTCGAATCTATTTTTCAAATGTAATTATCTTAGAGCTAAATCAATTTAGATGACATTGTAAATAATAAATTATTCTATCTTATGCTAAGATCTAAGAAGATAAAGAGGATATAAATATTTTTCAAATGATCATGATTTCTGATTATCGCTATCAACTTTGTCCTTGATTTAGTATATACATATATATATTTGATGAAGATCATCATGATGATGATGATGGAATTTATTAGTTCTATTGATAAGATCAATATGAAAAACACGTAGTTGATTAATTTTATGTTTATGTTTTATTAAACACATATTAATATTGTAGAAGGATAGTTTATCGATTGAATATTAGTTTGAAATAATGTGAAAATAAATATATATATATGATATTTAATTGAACTATCTAATAATAGAAGTAAATAAAATATTCGTGATAAGAAAATATTATCTTTGGTAAATAAATAACCTTATTTTAGTTATTACAAAGATAAAAATAGTTTCTTCTATTTTAATTGACGTCATCTTCAATTCGTTTTGAAGAAAAACATATTGAATAGCTTTTACTATTCCAATTCTTTTTTTAAATATTTATCGACTTTGATTATTCATCATGTTGTCAAATCGAATATGACAACAACATCAATACTTTTTTTTTAATGAATAGGCGAAAATCATGTTTTTATGACTAATAAATTTTATTCATTTATATTAAAAATATAACACAAACGTGATCAAATGACATGTCAATTTAGAATACTAATTTTACACTCATTAATTTATTAAAATCAGCGATCAGTTTACTTTTGCGTTTTTTTATTAATATTTTCAGATGTTGTATGTATGACATCGAGATTGATCTTTTTTTGTATAAATCATGAAATATAATAAGAATTTTTAAAATGCACATATATATATAGATGATTTATATATGCATAAAAATAAAAACAAATTAGATAATGAATAGTAAGATGAGTAATCGAACAAGGACGGATATTCAATAACATGTTAGGCATAGGAGTGAAAGTGAAAAAATTTTTTTGACAGGTCGAATTTATAAAGAAAAACGAGCAAACAATTAACTCAGCTTCAAAAGAAAAAAAAAACTGTAAGCACATTACAAGGACATAGTGGCCTTGTTACTGTCTGGTTGTTCGTAGTACAAGGTCGTGTTATGTTGTTGATGTCAATAGTTAGAAATGAGGATGATGATGTTGGCGGAACAGAAAAAAAAGAAATTTACTAACGATTACTCTATATGTAGATGATTAAAAATGCAGACATATAAAGACATGATCATATCAAGGTGATGATAAATTAATGCGCATTGAAAATAAAAGGCTTAGAATGAAACTATTTTTAGCAAAAATGAATATATTTTTAATAGGTTTTAACATAAAAACTTATTCTTTTTCTTATGGATAATGTGATCATATATGTACTCAATGATAAGTAGTTGAATTCGAGTTCATACGAACGTTCTTTCATCGACATTTATTATTTTCAATTTATGACTGTATCACATAACTAGAGCATTTAAAATCTTTTACAACCACTATTTTTAATTGCATACAGTTATTTACAAGTAGTAATTTTTTTTTATAGTATAAGATTTTAATTAATATTTAACTAGAATCTTGTACTTTTAATGCACTTGAAAATAGATTCTATATATTATTAATAATAAGAAAATAGCTTATAGGATAATAAATCAACGAACTCACTGATGCTCGTTACGTAAGAATTCATGGTTTAGTAAAATATGATGATGATGATTATGTAATAGTGATTACTCATTTTCCTATGATGAATCAAGTCCACATCTTTCATCTTTCTTTTTTCTTTTGATATATTTGTTCCATTTGAGTATTAGATATCTTTATATAAAAAAATCAGATTTTTTTATTCAATTTTAATATATACATTTGAATATTTGATCTTATTCAAATTCTTTCCTTTTATCAGTGATTTCGTTTGTTAAAATAAACGTGCCCGTAGACAATTGGATCTTTCTCATTTGCTTATTCTCTTCGCGTCGCCACCCTTATTTTATTCTGCTGTTGGATAGAAGCCAAGAATATATATACAGGTCAGTTGCTTTTTTCTTGACCGGGCACACACATACAACAAGTTTTATTAGATGACTGAAAAAAGACGACAGAACGCAACAAAGATGAATGCTCGCTATTTGCTTCATCCAGACGAGTGAACGAAAGAATTTTTCTCTGACCGTTCATACAATATATTGTATACACAAGCTTATATGATTACTATCTTGAATGCTGTAATAAAATACGGCTCAGATTTTACTCTCACTTATTTATATGCATTTTCTCTAAGAATTTCTTTTTTTTTTCCTCTATAAACTTTATACACATATATAAATACATACATAAAGTGTAACAAAAGAACAACGATAACGGCACGAAGAACGAACTCGAACTAAAAGGAAACAAATCGGGTGATAGAGTCTATCACATGCAAAACAAGGGAGAGTAAACAAAAGACAGATAGATTAGTATTCCTTTTAGATCCCAAATGGAAGCAATTTTAAATATACTAAATGTCTTTCAAATAAAGCAATAGAAATAACAAAAACCTTTTAGATAAACATATATAGAATGATATGAACATTGTTTTTAACAAAAATTATTGTCAAGTAGTGATAAAGATCAATAGAAACAATAATATTACAAAAAAAAAAAGTGCAAACACGCAAAAGAATCAGAAAGAAGAAGAAGCAATAGAAGAAGAAGAACGAAGAGAAAACGAGAGAAGTCGTTCTCGCTCTGTGTACGCGTTTGCGGGGCCGACTAGGGGCAGCATTAGTTTCGTCGAATAATTAACATATTGCCAACATACTCACTATAGTAGTCATTCATACAGACACGTAGAAAAGAAAAAACCGCAAAAATTACATAATTACGATAAGAAATTTCTTCATGCTCAATTTACAATTAAATAATGGCAGAGGATATTGATGATAATCAATTAAAAGAATATTTTGTTGTTGAAACAAAACGACATAAACCATGTTTAATATTTCGTGGTTATCGTTATGTACAAGATAAAATACAAAATCGAACTATTTATTGGCGTTGTGAAGATCGTGCACATTGTAATGGTCGTGCTCATCAACTAGTCGGAAATGGATCAATACCTATTCTTACTATAAAACATAATCATCAATCTATCATTGATAATATTACAACAAATGAAACTACAATAATAAATAGCCATAGTCGTCAACGACGACGACGACAAGATCTTAAAACATCCTATTATCAATCAAACAATGAGGGTAAATATCATGGCATTTTATTTTCATACGTTTTATATGATTAGGTGGTGATGTCGAACGAAGAGGGGCAGTAGATAGAACGAGGGCAGTGGATAAGGGAGATGGGACGGTGAAAGAAAAAGAGAAGCGACGGATGAAAAGGACAAAATGTCCGTCCGCTTCGCTCGCAGAAGCCGACGGGTCGTCGGAGAAGGAAAGAAGCAAGTGACATATTTTATGTTTTTGTATACGTTTGTATGCATGTTTCACTCGACTTTCGGTTATAAAAAAAAAATATTCTTCTATATATGTGGAAAAAAAAACAATACTAGTTTTCTAATCGAATTATCGTTTGCCTAAAAAAAAAATAAAACTTAATCATGATTAAATCTCATCTATACAAGGTAAGTCATCCATCTGTTTTTTTCAATCTATATCAGATAACACTAAAATGTTATTCATCATATGATTGATTATCCATGTCCATTTTTTTTCGCTATTATATAGACAAAGAAAAGAACAATAGGCTAAATATGTGATTTTTTTTTATTTTTTGATCGAAATAATTGTTGTCATGTGATAAATGGTTATATTTAGTAAAGTTTTGACAGTTTCTATTAGAAACAAATGCACACATTTTCTCTATACAACATTCATCAATAGGAAAATATGTATTTGCGCGAATTGTTTTTGTCAGATCTTGTTATATATGTATAATGTTGTAGAAGTATTTGTTTTTGTTTGTAAGATATATTAATTATCAGATACTTATTTTAGCTCTATATTTATCTTTGTAGATATTTATTATCAGATTTTCTCTATTTATTCGATCTTTGATTATTCATGAGAATGCCTAGTTTTTTTTTCTCTTTTTTTTTTTATTATATATTTATCTCAATACTGTTGATGCCATTTATTGAGAATCGATGAGGAAAAGAAAAAATCCGACATTGATTACTTTGACCGGCTAAATAGAAAGCTTTTTACACGCGACCAACCGGCTCGCAACAAACTGGTACGAACAAGACCGACGTCGGCTATGCTGCTTCTTCTTCTTTAACCAGTGCGAGGTTTCTTTCGTTCGCATCTGTGTATGCAGTATGCTTTGCACACACGTT